CCCCGCGCCCCCCCCCCCCCCAATTCTTCTTCTGCGCTCCCTTTCCCTCTGTCTCTATCTCTAATATGCACACATAACTGTGCGCATGCACCAAACAGGTTAAGGTAGTGTTCTGTTACCTTTACGCATAAGGATTCACTGGCAGCACGAATCTTGCGTCTTTTATGTTTACCATGTCCCCACACTGCTTTGGAATAACCCAGAACTGTTTGGGCAATGATGTATATGGAGTCCAAACCACAGGCTCCTTCAACATAAAATCATCACAAGAATAGCACGAATATGCTATTCGCCCCCCCACCCCCACCAGCACACACACACACACACACACACACACACACACACACACACACACACACACACACACACACACTACATCTACAAGGTGAAGTCATCCCTCTGCAGGATGACATATTTAACTGTCAACCACGGACTGGCGTAACAGGAAAGCTCCGTGCTACATGTACGTACATGTACCTACTAATACCATCATGTCTAGTGTGACCCCCTAGTTATAGCACAGCTCTTAAGTAGAGGGAAGAGATGCTTGCCTTCCACTGCTTCCCCTAAAGAACACAGCCCCTCACAAACAGCCAGCTTACTGTTGTTGTAAAGGCCAGCGCACACTGACCCATTTCACACCACAGTCTCCGTGCTGAGTCAATTAATCCATGAAATTCTTTGAAAGCATGACAAACTACCAGATGCCTATATAACTTACAGTACAGTAGAAAGGCCTCCAGCTAAATGTCAACAATGATCTAGAAAAAAAGTGCGCTGTGTACTTGGAACGGCTAACTGGCGACATGGTGACAAGTTTAAGCAGGACGAGCCTCTATGATTCTTTGTAATCACCAAAACGTAGTTATTGTGCTGTTCAAACACTGCACTTTCAGAGCAACTCTAATACTAAGCGTTTCAATCCAAACGTCATGGTAAAGTACTGTAATATGACATCTTAACAAATTGATATCTTTTGGCACAAGTCGATTTGTTAATAGTTAACTGGTGTGCAGTTCGTGTGATGTTACAGACAAGCTAAATTTAATTAAAGCCGATTATTTGCACATACACACTATTCTTTTTCATTATTTTTTTTAAATGTTGGGATGACATTTACTATTAAATAGTCTATCGTCGGTGATACAGGTCCTTAAATTAAGAATGAACACATGGCATACTCACATATTCAGTCTAAATGAAACAGCAATTTCCGTAATTGGACAATCGTGATGTGCTTTGTTGTTAAATGAGTCACAGTCATTTAAATCCACATAGGCCATGATGCGGTCGAGATTTTCTTCTACACTCAATCCGGGATAGGAGCTTCTCTCCCGGGCACTACCCTGTTCTCCCTGTCTACGACCAGGTGGGATGTCGGAACACTGCCCATTTAAGACAAAGCCCATTTTACGCAGAGCAACATATAATATATGTGGGTCTATCCTGGAGGGATATACCGGGAATAACGTCCACTACGGGCCGTCAAATTAAACGCATCAAAGCCAGAGTAAGGGAAAATGACAGAGAGGAGAAAACATCTCGGCTATCAGCGTCAGATGTTGAGCGCAGAAAACGGAGGGCCGCCCGGGGGCCTCGTGATCAGACTGCCAGGGAAGACGCGCGAATTAGGCATGCTCATTGGCGCACACATGGGTGAGCATCACAGATATGGGGTGGGCACAATGGACACGCAGTAGATACAAGAGAAAGACGGACACTGGGAGATTCACAGAAAGGCAGTGACATCTTGGTACAGGCTTTTAAATGCTACCAAACTGATCCAACATCATAAACAGCTAAGGTCTGTTGTTCGATCACAATATAAGGTCCTCAATCCCTTCTAACACCCACCGAACGGGCCTCCAGAGCTCCTCCAGCAAAGTGAGTAATCATTTTATTTCTGTAGGGTCCACTAGAAAACGTCCAGTTAAAGAATGCACAATGTGTCAATACACATCAGCACTGTGCAGTAGCCCATAAACAAATGCACAACAACCACAGCTGCTTTTGTCTTGCACGGCGCAACAGTGTGCAACACCGGTACTTTCGCATGACTTGCTAGGCCTTGAGCAATATATCACACAACTGATCATATTTAAGGATTTGTTGACAATGTTTTAGCAACGTCCTGCCTGGGTAAATAAGGGCAGAAGGTTTGTTCCCATAAAGAAACACAGAACAAGCAGAGTGTAGCTAATGAACAGGATAACAACCTGAAGGGCACAGGTCAGGGCGTTAGGGCAAACGTTAGAGAGAAGCACAGCCTATAAAATACATTGTTTCTAAATCATTTGATTTTTCGCAGATAACAGTTTTACCCTATACGAGTATTCATTACAAGCTACATTTATATTTTCATTATCTGTTTCAGGGAAACGATTATCTGGAGGTCTACAATGCATTAACCTACTGTAGGCTAAATAGAAGATGGAGTACATCAGCACATGGTGGTGTGGCCTGTGGTGTGTTAGCTTTACGTGTTAAACAGGTCTCTATACAGTTCACATTAAAACACATTTCTATTCAGAATTATGAATTTTACTCAAAATTAAAAAGTCCTGTGCGTGCGTGCGTGCGTGCGTGTGTGTGTGTGTGGTTCCGTGTAGCTACAGTTTTTTTTTTTCCACTTGAATTTTAAACAGTTCTGCAGTGTACTGCAGGTTTGCATAGAAAGCTTTGGTTGTTGCAGTGCAGAAAAATATTTCAAGAGATATTTAAAGATTTTTTCTGCAAAAAGTAATTTTGTAAACAATATCAACTTGCTAAGGCAAAAAATAAAGCAGAAAAAGCACTAACCAAAAAGCAGAAATGTTCCAGAATTAATAGTTAGGCTAGCTATTTATAAATGTTCCGATGTTAGTTTGAAAAAAAGTAATTTAAAGAAACTTCTGTGTTTACATTTGTGTGTTTATACTGTACATTAATAATGATTGACTCTCAGGTCTGCCTTTCATCAGCCTCACGTGTATTCATCTGAACACGCCCCCTGGCTGCGTCATGTTCTATCAAACATATTACAGTAAGGCGTGCCTTCTATTCTATTCTGTTCTATTCTGTAATTTTCATCTGTAATTTTTCTCTCTGTAGCCTGTTCACGTTTTTGTTTCTTGTTTATCGGCTATTTGTCACAAATATCCCAGTAGCCTTTATTTATTCACCTGCCAACTTGTTTTGTAGCCTGTGCTGTTTACTAAACGTGTCGGATTCACTGTGTTGGAACAGAAAAATAAACAAGAAAAATTAAAGGATTATTTTTCTTTTTTGTTACTGTCACAAGAAAATCTCAGAGATAAGAAGATGCACAAGCCAAGTAACTAAGCTATAATAAAAAGGTTTTCCAGTTTAAATTGAATGGTTTCAATAGATGTGTTGGAATAAACCTCGAACGTCTCTGTCCTTGGTACTGAAACGAATGAAATTCCTGGATGAAGGGTGTAAGAAAAAAACATGCCGAAATAGTTTTTGGCTTGTTCGTGCAAATCTAAAACACTTAGTATCTCATAAAATTCAATAAAATACATTTTGAAATTAAAACTGAGTCGCCAAGAGGAACAATCATTTTAATATTTTAATCTTCACAAGCTCAGCCTACATGAAACCGAGAACCGCTGAGAACAGTGACATTTTTTTTTCAGGTAATTGTTTTTCAAGAAGAATTAAATAACTGTGAATATTTAAATTTTCAAGTTCAAAAGGGAAAGCTAACTTTTTTTAGTTAGCCCATTTTTATAGGAAACACTATTTAACTATAATATTATAATTAAATATTACATTTCTATCAGCCAGATTTTACAGCTTATGATATTAGTTATTATGGAAATACTGGTTATTACAGCAAGTGTATGCACTCAAGTTAAATCTCTCTTTCTTAATACAGCTTAACCCTGCTAAACTTTATATAAGGCCAGTGCTGTATGTTTGATACTTTTGTGACATGATAAATTGTGTGTTTTGTGTATAAATATATAAGAGATATGCTTTTACAGCAGGCCTGTACTTGTTGCACACACTGAAGGAAAGTAGATTTCACCTGAATTGTTTTTATATCAATAACATTTAAACCATTATAATAACAGCACAGATATAAATTATATTAAATATTATCATTTTATATAATACACAGAAATCTTATGTTTTAAATCAGCAATAATTGGATGCCATTAATGTCACAGCTATTAAGTTTAGTTTAAGGAAAAATTGCTCTAATTCATGAAAATGTGAAGTCCTCCAGTTGTACTATGTTGTATGTTTCCAATACTTTGGTGGCTCTCTATTGTAGTCAGTTGCAAAGGCCTGATAAATTAATTTCACACTGCAGCTCCGGAGAACATTTTCTCACAAACAAGAGACCAAAAAAAAAAAAAAACGCCCAAAGAAAGAAAGAAAAAAAGTCAACATCAAGTTCAACAACGTGTTGGTGCTCATTAGCATCACAATGCTGTCTGGGAGCGCACAAGTCTTCTTAACAAGAGGGTCTGGCGTCAAGTCCCTCCACCTCCCCACCAAGGGGACATTTTCCCAGGCTCTGCTAACAATCACACAACTGTTTGCTTTATAAACGCCAGCTCTGGGGCCACTCAGCCCGCCTCATCACCGCTCAATGGATGCTCCTGCTAGTTCGGGAAGGCAACTTGCTGCCACTCCGCATTTTAGGTTTCAGGTTGGACTATATTTCGTCTTTTACCTCCTGTCCATTACGTCAGCTTTAGTGACTTGTTACTTTTTTGTTTGTTATTTGATATTCACTTTGTTCCTTACTTTACAGCTACTTCATATTCGTATTATTCTTCTTAATAGTATTATTCTATCTATACATACACAGCCTTAAGGTTAAAAGCGTCAGAAACCCCCAAATAATTTGTTTTTAAAAATATACTTACACGCCATAGCCTTTGAGTACATCCCACACCTCCGGTTCAAGTCCATCATTACGCAAGTTTTTACCAGTGATCACAATCACACTATAAAAGAGCCCAGAGTCCAGCGAAAAAGCCAAGAGATGCAAGCCTTCACTGGCTGAGAGTAAACCTGCACAGTGAGTGGATCCAACCCACAGAAGTGTGTTTTTAAAACACTTGTATTCAGTGACCAGACACAAGCAAAGGCCAAAGACTGCTGCCAGCATCCGCTGCCCCATCCCAACATCTCTTAGCAGCCTCGGATGACAGTGTGAGCTGAGCTGCTGCGTCGCTGGTTGCCCCCCCACTCCCCCACCCCACACCACACTACCCCCACCCTCTGGAAGACGTGTACAGAAACCCAAACACTTTTCGCACCGCTTTTGCTTTGTGAACAGGTGTCCGCTGTTTTGTTTGAAGCTGCATCCGTCCAGCATCCTTTTTGGCAACATTTGATTCTGACGTGGTGAGCCACGTACAGCCTCTGGGGCTGTGTGGTGGGAGAACGCAGAAAGGAGCGAAGGGAGGCACCAACCAGGACCTTTGGGAAATGCACCAGACCCAAAACTTGCAACAAAAAGCATTAGCTCGACGCCACAAGATGTTGAGGAACACTATGGCAGAATGCTGCTTGGCAGAGGGTGTTAACACAGATGTGTCACAGAAGATGCCTGCTCCTCATTCACAGCATATTCAATCCCCTGTCTCCTCACAGTCAGCTGCACTGATGAAGTCCTGATGGCACCGAACACAGAGACTGGTTTAGAGAGGGACCGGCTGAGCAGTGATCTCCAAACCTGCACCTTGCTTGACTGAAGCATTTGTGTCACCAGCTTGCAGGACGAAACCGAGCCAAAACGGCGACTGCAGATGTTTTATATTGTATAGTTTCAATTCGCTTGCAGGCGGACTGCATGAGAAATGCGCATAAGAGAAACGAGTAGTGAGAGATGGAGATGACCAACGAGCAGTACACAGCAGCGGAGTGTGTCATGCTCTTGCCGCAGCCTTAGCAGCATCAGGAGAAGCAAATGCTTCCCTGGTACTCCTGTGGGTCACGTTGCTTGGCGTTGTGCGACGTCTCCATCCTGTGCGTAACGGAGCGCACGGTGGCCATTCGTGTGCTAAATGTCATCCTTAGAGCTGAGCAAAGCAGCCGAATTCCGTCTGTAAAAACACAAATACAAATTGCAGATACATACGCAGAACAGTCGACGCTACAGCCGGGTGCTACAACATCAGCCCTTGAAACGAACATGATTGTTTGCATGGTGGCGTCAGGCGCCAGGATAGGTTATTCCAAATGTGTTATCCAATAGGCTCGCGTGTAGGATTATTCGTGGGGTCTCAACAAGATTGATTTGTGTTCACTTCCGCTGCTAGTGCTGTATTATAACTAGGCCAGGTCTTCATTTTGTAGCTTCATTCTAGAGAAGAAATATAAACTTTTCCTTCTCTGAAAGGTACTTTAAATTTGATAAATAAAGATGTCTTCAGTGTGTATATTGCATGTGTGTTGAATGGCTATGTCTACTGGTGTGTCTCCAGTTTCCAGCCACTTCAGCAAAACTCATTCAGAAGTTACTACTTTCTACTACTACCACCAGCAGTACTACTACTACTACTATTATTTTATTTATTATAGCCTATGTAATATAGAATATTCAAAATATATATAATGATCCAGTCTGACACGTGAAATTAAATAAAAGACTATTTTATGCATTCCTTATGAGTGAAGCCATACATTAAAATTCAGTTGTTTTCCAAATTAATCGCTGAGAATAAGGCACAATAAGGTGGTTAATGTTACAAAATATGACAAAAGGAATCATATTTTATAGCCAATTGATAGACCCACATTTATTTTTCTCTGTAAGTCACATGAGTGTGCAGTGCGCCAGATATATAATCAATCAGCTGTTTATTACCGGTATACGTGCATAGTAGCCTAATATAGGGACCGTCATGGTTTTTGCTTCCTCATAAATGAACGGCAGCTCACTGTTGAAGCTCTGCACATGCGAACAGCATGTTTTACCAAAAACACTTGTGTAAGGCATTACACAAGGAATATTATGGGAATATCTGGTGTCAGAAATGCCACATAGCAGAAAACAGCCCATAATAATTCAACCTCTCACAAGATCTCCAGCGGACTTCACGACCAGTCGAGCTAAGCAGTGACATCTGTTGGTCGGAAAGCAGCAAAGCTCGGGCCTGTGTGGGATCTGGTCTGGCCTACATCCACAACACACTGAGAACTCCATTAAACGGTACGACCCCATAACGGCAGCATAAATACAGCCTCTAAATGTGCGCAGTCCAATATATTCATATTATGCATGTGACTGAGGCAGCAAAAGGCTTAACTTTTTCTTAAGGTGTTACTATGCTCATGAAATGCCCTAAACATTCTAAAAGGTTCATGAGTATAACGATAACAAGTCTGTAAAAAGATGAATTTTTAATGATTATTAAGGTCCACAGTAAGTTGATCGTATCGGATAATAATCCGTAGGTCTATGATGATGCGGGAAAAAAAGACATCAGTCTATAATGGTACAATTTGTGATTTGCATTGAAATGATTACGGGCACATAGAAATAAAACTACAGGCTACAAAACGGTTCAACATTAAAGCCCACCGTCATCCAAATGTTATTAAAAACATCATTTCATCAGTAAAATAGCTGTAAATCTATAGGCTATATAAAATATGTCATAATGTTACGTTTTGGTTTTATAAAAACAACGGCGGAGTTGTGTCTTTTCTTGTGTTTACGTGTTTATGATGAATCAGTACGTGTTTGCGTTTAAAACGAAAATTATGTGGTGGTGATTTTGTATTTTTTGGAATCATCTCGCAAAAAGTGAATTTGGTCTGTTTTCATTTGTACACGTGGGTCTTTATCTCGATATATTCATTCTGAACTGAGTATATATACATATATCGTTTAGTTTATGGCAAGGGTCTCGCAAAATAACTGTCATGTTAAAGTAAAGTTGTTTCATTGAGGATGTTCTTGTTATTCTTTGGAGTTTTGTGAAAATTCTGAATTTTAAGAATCAGGAGTTTCAAGATATCTTGATCTTTAAAGTTTTAAAATGCAGTTCAGTCATTTACTCTAATATAGTGCTAATAGGTATTTTATGGAATAAAGAACATATACATTAATTAACAGTGTTTCTCAATTTACAGTTTCTTAATGGTGTTTTATTGTTGCATCAGTCCTCTTAAAGACTGATGGACTGATGCTCTCTGCTTTTAAGACCTAAGAAAAACACTTAATATATCACTTTTTAATTTATTAGGTGTCATTTATATAAATCCTGTTTGGTGGATTTATTGAGACTCAGGAAGCTGCCATTTTTACTGAGGTGCCATAATATTTTAAATCTTTTTCCTGATTAAAAATGTTCTTTGATATGTGTATAATTTAAATAAACATAGTATAAGTGATCTGAATAATTTGCATAGCCTAAAACTCAATACATTTTATACATGTCATATGTAGCACTCAGGCAGAACCATTCACAGCCTACTCCCCCTCATTCCAAACTGCTTCTACCTTCGCCTTCAATTTATTCATTTTTGTCAAATTTGTACAACTGTTAGGTCATCATGCACAAGCACACTGAGCCCTGCTGGGTTCAATTGTTAAGGACTGGCCAATCCAACTGGCTACTTTTGGGAATTGTTTTGGACACTCTTCAGTGGGGTTTGACCTGACATGGGGGCATAAAGGCATCAGAGGTCACACATCAAGACCAACAGGGCGAAAATATTTGTCCTTCCCTCTGTCATGCCCCCAAATCAGCACCTATAAAATACTGCAGTTAAATAAGTTGTGTTGTGACGTTGGGAGTTTCTGATGCTCCCAGGAATTTAAATAGTTAAATAGCAATAAAAAAAAAACAAAAACAAACAAAAAACGAAAAACACAAAACAAATGCAGGCTATTAGCAAAACTCAAATAAGTGTGGTTTTACAGCTTGTTAATGTCAAGTCTGCAGAAAATATCCATGAATACTAAAAAGTGCTAACGTGCCTGTTTTCATCTATTTTTTTAAACTGAGAAAAGCAACAACAGGCGTCTCCTGAAATTCTCTGAGCTCTCAAATCTGAAATTTGGATTTCTTGTAATGCAGCTTTATAGATCTGCTGATATGTTAATATGAGTCGTTATGCTGCCTCAGCAGCGACTGACATATCAGGGTCATGGGAGAATTCTTCATTGAGAATAATTTTGTTTGATAGTTTATAAAAATTAACCAATACTACAGTAAATACATTGTTGTTACATCATACTTCTTTTGCGAGCACCAGTTGCAAGACCGGTGAGTAAAGAGAACGGGAGTCAGATCCGGTATTGGCGGTCAGCTTGCCAGTAACAGTGAGCTAAGAAGAGCTAAATCTCCTTTATTAAGGTGACATGAACACGCAATAGGCAGAGTGCACAACAGATCCACTGGCCTAATACAAGGGCTTTCGAGGAAATGGCAGCTCACTGTATCAGTAAGGAAAACCTGACATCAGACATCTCCAGACTCCTAAAAGGCGTCAAAGAACCTTGGCCATGGAGCAGCAATGTTTGGGCCTTCAGCTGAAGCCATTCCATGTGCTCATCATCACTCCCACGCCAACAAAACAAACAACCAACAAAAACCCATAAAACAGAAATAAGACAGCTGCAAACATTAAAAATCTGTTGTCTGCTGATTAATTTCAGCCTATCAAACCAACGTAAATGCACTATCAATCAATCACACACACGAAAAAAACTTTTAAATGAAGGTGAAAAATTAAAGCAAAACACTGTTCTATTAGCAAACAACAACAAAAATTCACCAACTTACACTTTCCTGGTCCTTCTAGCTCAGAGTGACGGAGGTGTTGGTCCATTCCCTTTCATGTGAAAACAGACTGGTGTTCTTACTGCTTTCCTGGTTTAATTGGGAACAGGCTGAAGTTTATGCTAATAAGCGCTGACATCAGTCTTAACAGCCTCCACTCCATAAAGGAAAGGGGCAAAGGGCCAAAGTTGCGCCTCTTTTCCCAGGCATTTCCGTCGGTCAAGTTCAAGCGCAGCTCAGTGCGCATGATTGTCATTCAAAGCATTGAATTTGCAGGTGGGGGTATCTAGTGAAACGTGAATTTCTTGAAATGCGGTAAATGTTTTATCAATTAGTCTCTTAACAAGACAACTTCAGAAACAAAGCTGCTTGCTTTGAAACACTCAAATGGGAAAACTGGTGGAGATTGTCCACAAAAATGTCCTGAGCCTAAAACGTTCTCTGGCTTTGATGGTAAGAAATATAAACATGCAGTGATGGAAGAAGCACTTAGACTGCTTACTTAAGTGAAATTATCAATGCCACAGTGTAGAAATACTCTGTTACAAGTGAAATTCTTGAGTTCAGAGCATCACTTAAGTAAAAGTACAAAAGTATTAGTATCAAAATGTACTTAAAATAATACAAGTACAAGTAGCCTGCTCATTATGCAGAATGGCCCAGTTCACATTAATGCATATCATATAATACTATAATACTGTAATTATTAATGATCTAAACATCACATTGAACCTTACAATTTGTAAAGGTGGAGCTAATGTTAACTACCTTATAAGTTTATAACTTGAAACACTTTTCACACCACTGGGTAGCTTATGAATTTCCCGCCGGGTATCAATAAAGTCTTATGATTTTGCTGTATTTTGTTTGATTAACCTCATTCTGAGAAGTAAATAGCAACTAAAGTTGTCATATCAATGTAATGATTAAAAAGTTCAATCATTTTCAATAAAATATAATGAAGTCAAAATATGAAGTAGCAGAACATGAACAACACTTAAGTAAAGTACACATACCTCAAAATTGTGCTTAAGTACTGTACTTGAGTAAATGTACTTAGTTACTTTCCAGCACTGTAAACGTGCACATATTTGTTATATAACTTGGCTTAATTATTTCTAGCTAGTGGGGTTTTTAACTTTTCTTTAAAAAGTGGTTTTGAAAATTCAGCAGTACTATAAAGCTAGAAAGCAGCCATAAATTCTCTCCTGCTGTGTCTAGCTGAATTGACAAAAATGAGAACTTTACATGGGAGCACAGGGATGCAGACATGAGTCCTGGTAAAGGTCATTAAAAAAGTAAATTCATCACAGAGAAGAAGTAGAAAGAAAAAAATGGATGAGCTAGAGATTTTTAAGATGTGAGATAAATTAATAAGAGTTTGTGTAAAAACTGGCTTCAAGTCAGTGCATGATGTTTAATATTTCTTAGTACCTCCTTATTGTTCTTTTAGTGTATATAAATGTTTGTGCAATCATATTTTTATGGCACAAACACTGTAAAATAGACCGTTAAACTTTACTGTATGTCTTTATGTGTGCATCACCCATCTGTGCATACTGGCCACTGGATCATCCATGGGATCATCCATGTTATAGGAACACAAGCACTCAGTGAAACCGAATTAGCAGAGTCCATTTGCGTAATTATATTGCAATTGTGCAATCACTCATGTCATCTAAGTCCACAGTCTTTGTGAGGATGAGCCAAAGTAACAGCTTAGCTCATCACATCAGAAATAGGCCAAACTAATTCTAAACTGAACCTAAAACCAGAAGACCAGATCCAGTCAGTCAACATGCAGACACAAAGCTTCTTAAGGCTTCTTTTGTGAGTAGGTTTTGTGCATAGCTTTTGTGTGTACATCTGTGTGTGTGTCTGTGTACTATATAATTTATGTTGGACACACAATCCTTCAGCTCTTTTTGTTTGTTTTTATGATTAAAGCCAGCACAAAGGAAGAATCTACAAATGTGACATCACATATTCGATTCTTAAATCTCAAAACTAAGAGAATCTGAATCAGAAACCGCTTTACTGGCCAGGTGTGTTGGACACACGAGGAATTTGACTCTGGTACAGCAGCTCTCAATGTGCATGTACATGTCCTTATGTAAGGCAGCGATGGGCAAGTAAACAATATAAGGCTGAGAACAGAAAGGAAAGAAAGTAATGTGCAAACAAGCAAAAGGAATGTGCATTAGGAAATAAGTTAAAATAAAAATAAGGTACTTAGAGACCTGTATGTTCAAACAGTCTAGGTGCATTTTAAGGATTTATATGTACAAGGAATACAAGGAATAGCTGCGGAAAACAATAACGTGGTCCTGGTAGGTGTGCTGGGACACTAATTGATCAAACTTACTGTATTAAATTCTTTCAATGAGCAGTAGAGGAAATTATTTTGGCTTGAAGTGCTACAATATTTGGTAGGACTTTGATGTAGTAGTTCTTGCCTATTTGCTGCAGAAGCCAAACATCTGTGCATGCTATGCTAAATAAGTACCATCACTAAAGAGTAATCAGGAAGACACATTACTTAGTTGCTTGGTTTATGACTAACACATACTGTTTTCTTGACCAAAACAAATAAAGACAAGACTTATGACTGTAATATTTAGCTTGACTACATACAGTGCAGACAACAATGGGATAATGTATCAGCAGTTAATCACCTCTATGGACTCTTTCTATGTGGTCTCTTCCTCATACAGTATGTCTGTGTCTGGTAATTAACAGTCACAAGTCTCAGTCCTTCCTAAATAAACCACTGTGACAACATAGTTCTGGTCCTGGTTCCCACAGTTATCCCCAAAACTGCAGAGGAGGCAGCAGTTACCAAAAAGACAAAAAGGAAAAGAGTGGAAAAATGACATAATGGTGGAAAGAGTTTCCTTTGACAGAGCAACCTTGCACGGTTTGCATATATTCAGATCAGGAATACCATGGATAGGGCCAAACAATGACTAGCCAATGGGAGGCCAGCGTCCCTGCTGCAGGCTCAGAAGCAGCCGCCGGGATCCCAGTAGCACCCACAGGGAAGTGGTGTGGGAACTGAGAGGCCCCCAGAGCTGAGCACAGGGTCGGGAGCCACTTGTACCCTGCAGAGAATTAGCATTTCACTGGTGTCCATTTTTTCCCCAGTAATATCTGTCCCACCACTTCAACCACAGACAAGATGGGGGTGTTTTTCCACCCAAACAGAGACATTTCTTCTCACAGTATTTTCACATCTGAAATGTTGCGCCAAAGTAGAGAATATTTAAGTCAAATGTATGTTAGATGGTGTTATGGTTATGAGTATAAGAACATCCGACTATATGTAGCATGATCCACATGTAAAGACTTCATAAAATTCTCAATTGCTCTAGTTTGTGATATCAGTCCATACATATTGTGTATATTTTCTCAGCAGCAAAAACAATGGAAAAACAAATACCTTAATTTACTTAAAAATAATATCCAAAAACAAAATTCTAATTCTAAAGATCCATTCCTTCAGAATCTCACAAACTAATTGCCTCAGGGTATAAACTACAGCTGCATCAACAACATTCCTAGAGCTCAAAGAGTCTGATATTAAGGCAGCTCTTGGTGCATTGATTCATCCTCCCCCCCCACACACACACACACACACACTGGCCTGTATATCCATTATAATGGCAGCTCATCCTCTGTAAAGTAGAGTTTTTCCAGAAACACGCCCTCTACATATCTTTTTCCAAAACCATTCACTGCATTCAAATCTGTGTTTAGCGTGTGCATTCGTGTTATTTGGGTGGTCTGCTGAGGCTGATTGAGTTCCCACTTTCTGGTAATTGGTGACACCCCTTCTCCTGAAGGTGTGTCTGATCCCTTGCCCTGTGAATTTGCGCACAAGGGCATGATGCTCCAGTGAGTGCTATGAATCTGATCAAATAAAGTGATGAAACAACTCTGATGGGCATGTGTGTACTACCAGGCAGGCACCTGTAAACATAGCTCACCTAAAATGAGTTGTCTGTCTTAACACATTACTCGTGAAACACCTCATGGTTTACAATAATCTGAGGCTAAGAAATCATCTTTATACATTAACAAATTACAAAGGTATAAACTTTGTCTACAGATCTGAAGATAACCACATTGTTATTATAAAGTGATTCCTTTTAATCCATCTAAATAGAAAAATAATGCTGTAATACATGATTATATCAAAATGTTGCAGTCGTCGTCTTTCACCTTTCCCTGGTGTCCGTGTCTTTTAATGCCAAAGTACAGAGTACGAGGAGCATATCTGAGACTTTAAGCTTCACCATTTACATTCTGTTTGTTTTCATCTAACCACATTTTAAGATGCATGATGGTGGATGCATGAAACATGGAGATTATCATTCGGAGGCTCACACAGAGGACTTCAGGGGCACTGAAGAAGAACAAGGAATTAAAATTTTACATTCTAATTAGAGATGAGGAGTGGGAGCATGATGGTAAATTAAATCAGCTTTACGGGTTTACTTGTTAAATATTAAATATTTCCATGCTTTCCCAATTTAGAACAGAATAGCATATCTGCCCAAAAGATGTTCGTAGTATTAGGCTACCAGTGGAAACAATATCGTTTACTGGGTAAACATATAGCAAATGTAAAATTCTAAGTAATTGTCCTGCATTTAAAAATTTAGTTTTTAAAAGCCAGTAAATATTAGCGTGAGTTTCAAACATCGAAAGGATTTAGGATTTCTGATACCTCTTTTAGAAGCTTAAAATTATTAGCTACAGTTGTTGTTGTCACGAAGTTTGGAATTTACGAAGCTTTCGATGAACACTAGACAGTCCACAACTACATCCGGGGCATTCAGAAGTTTCACATGTCAGTCGGTTCACATCCATGGGTTCAGCTGTGAAATCCTGGCGGTATGTGAAGACGCTCCAGCAGCTACTCCCGATTTAAGGCTTTCTGGAGAAGAAATGGTAACTCACTTTACATCCCAGTTTATTACCAGCCTCAACAGCTTGCTGTTAAGTTCCCTATCTAGCCGGCTTTTTACTGGTTACTATGAAAGTTAGTTTGCTAATGCTAACTAGCTTGCTGACACAACGTACAGCAGCACTGACAGGTGGTGAACTTTAGCTAAATTTAGCACAGTAGCCATTTGCTAACTTTCATTCATTTTGCACGGGCTTTCAACACATCTTGTGTTTAAAATGGTTTAACGTAATGTGTTGCTTCTAATAGGTAATAATAGGTTCGTAGCATAGTATGTGACATAGCTTCTACCGGACCCTGGCTGTTTTCTTGTGCTGTGTCAGTACATTATCTTTGACAAACTGCCACAGTTGCAGACAAGATACTGTTGACATAACTTTAACAGTGTAACATGGGAGCTTCTAAATCTCATAGTTAAACGTTTGTGTGTTTGCTCTGACAGGCGCTGATGGGAATTCAGCTTGTGGTCAGCTTGCTGGCTGCCACCGCTATGCAGAGGATGGCTCCACATTACTCATTTGCACGCTGGCTCCTCTGCAACGGCAGGTATTGGTACTTTTATAATACGTGATCCACATAATGTGCTGCCCACTGTTTACATGCATGTGCTTGTTGTTTCTTACAGTTTGTTCCGGTTCAAACACCCAACAGAAGGAGAGCTGTGTGCACTGGCACGAATGCAGATGCCCAAACAAAACAGGAGAGACAGGTGAGAGTTTTTTGGGGGGAGAACAAAGTTATGCTAGTGAGAGGAATGAATATTCTTGAGAACATTTAATTTATTGATCTCTGCGCTCTCTGAAATAGTGAGTTTTTCCTTTTGTTAGTTCAAAAGGCTGCTCCACTCAAGCAATATTTTGTCTCTCTCAGGTTTTCTTTTTGTAAAACTCAAGAACATAAGTATATTTGTCTTTTTTAACATGTCTTGTCTTTTTGGGATTTTTTTCTAGGAGGCAGAATGGGGAGAGCAAGCCTCTCACAGTGCCCAAAGACATTGACCTTCATCTAGAGAAAGCTCCCGTCAATGTCATTGACGCTCTTGGTAAAGCAAACACTGGTTTGTTCACATCACAATGATGTTGTGCAAGTACAAACACTGCTCAAGAGCAGCTGTTAACGCACAACTGGCGTCACTATACATTCACAACATTTACACCTTAAGTTATATTCCTGCATCAAAACAATGTCATAGTTTTATAGATATGAACTGGTAGAGCTCAACATATTCTTCTAAGCCTACTAATATGTTTTTTTCTTTGTTTATATTTTTAGTGCTTCATTTTTTCCTGGAGTATCAGTGGCTGGTAGATTTTGCAGTCTATGCAACAGGTGTCTACTTGTTCACAGAGTGTTACTACAGTGCAGTGGATGCCAGCAAAGAGGTCAATATCGGAGCTATCTGGTGTGTTCTGACTGTTCTCTTCAGTCTGTATCCTTCAACAGTACACTCACTTAATGCTACAACAGATGCAAACTTCCATATTGTTTAAACCTGCAAAACATCAGAATCTTATTTAAAACAGCAGTCTCTAACTTTTTGTATGACCAAATAGCAAAGATGATGAAGCATCTCGACACGTTTACAAAGCTGTAACATCCTATAATCAGTATACATGCCAAAGTCATAAAGGGTTGTATGAAAAATAACAATTTATATTTTAAAATTGGTCCATGAACTAAAAATAAAGTAGCCTTAATAAGATGTACAGTGAGTCTTAGGTTGGGTGAATTGTACTTTTTGCTCCAGGTTGTTTTCATTTAACCTACAACCTTCAGAAAGACCCTTCACACCCTGATGAGCCACTACTTCCACTCCAAAGAGGGCGGTGAGCGCTCAGTGTGCCTCGCCTTCGGTTTTCTGTCCCTGCTCGTGGCCATGCTGGTGCTGGTGGTCAGAGAGGACTACCTGGAGTTTGGTCTGGAGTCAGGCTTTTCCAGCCTCTTTGACAATTTGGAAATTTTTGCCAAGCAGCAGGGCTACGCTGATTGGTCGTATGTATCTGTCTTCATAAAGATGACTTAAACTGCTTTGTTGCCTTAAAGGAAGATGTTAAACTGATTGACATTGCATTTAAGAGGCACAACCTTTTTTAGTGCTATGTGCAGGCCAGTAACAGACGTAACAGATGTCTGTGTTAGATGGAGCCATGCTGAATTATTGACCTCAGTAACTCTTGTGACTTCAGAGTCCCAGTGACTAAGCTCACAGTGAAGTTTGGTTTGGCGGCTGTCTGCGCTTACATTGGTGCTCTCCTGGCCTTCCCCGGATTGCGACTAGCTCAGACTCATCTTGATGCAGTACAGATGAATTCAGACCGCCCACTCATCCAGTAAGAACTGATATTGTCACACTGCAAAAGGCAATGCACTGTGCCGTTTGAACAAAAATACTTTAACTGTGTCGCTCTCTCTTTGGTGTGTGTGATGTCTCCTGCAGGATTCTTCTGCATGTGAGTTTCCTTTCTCCAGTTATTGTGTTGGTGTTGTGGGTGAAACCAATTACAAGAGACTTCCTGGTCAATGCGCCTATGGGAAAGACCTCTGTCACAATGTGAGTGCACAGATATATTTGCTGTTCATCTTCTACAAGTACTGACTCAATTCTGTGAAACTAACAGTGGCCAGTAAAGCAAGATGTTCTTGAAAAGCAGTTCTGACTTTTTTTTTCCTCTTGGTCCTTTTGTAATGTCACTCTTGCAGAGTGTCCAGTGCAGCATTTGACAGCTTGCGCCTGTGGATCATAGTATTGCTGTACGTACTGCGCCTAGCACTGACTCGTTACCACCTGCAGGCCTACCTCAACCTGGCTCAGAAGTGGGTGGAGCAGATGAAGAAGGAAGCAGGGCGGATCGCTGCAATTGACATTCAGAGGAAGGTCAGATGCTGTTTATGTTTGTAAAATGGCTTCAGAAAGTATTCCGACCATTTCCCTTTTTGTACGCTGCTGTAGGATGATTTTGAATTGATTCAGTCATTTTGTTCATCAGTGTATACCCAATAACCCATAATAAATATGTAATGTTTTTAGAAATGCATGCAAATTGAGTAAGAATCCAGAAGTGAAATCTCTAATTTGCTAAACTAAAGCAATAATATGTACCAAAAGTGAAAAGGGTCTGAAGCCGCTGCAACTCTTTTATCTTTTGAGTGTAAACAACTAAATTTGAGTGTGTTTACAGTGAAGAGTTAAGTTAAAAAATGTTTTACAGCTTGCCCACATACAATTACAATGCAGCTGCACTCGGGGACTAAACTGGATGTTCTTTTTTTTCAGGTCACACGTGTGTTTTGCTACCTGACTGTAGTCACTCTCCAGTATCTGCTTCCTATTTTGCTCATACTCTTCTCAACACTATCACTCAAGGCACTAGGTAAGGAAAATTCCATTATCATAACCACTGCATTAAAGGAAGAATCCACTTTTGAATTTTATGTGTTTGACTATTCCTGTGTAGTAAAATGTTAGAAGCATCCATAGTAAATGTCAAGTTTTAGGGACCATCAAACATGACAAGCAAACGATTCGGTACCAAGCTTCCATTTTCCTCTTAATTCCAGTGTTAAAACATATTGACCGATCTTTAACTCTCTTGCAGGGGACTTTTCTTGGCGGGCTGGTGCAGAGACAGTGACACCAGCACTGGTGATGCCCACATCAGCGCCTGTGCATCCTGGAGGTCTTGATGAAGATGAAGAGGGGATGGATGACATGGAGGAGGACATCCAAGCCACCGTAGCTCACTTGTCAGCAACCTTCACCACACTGCGCTCCGTCCTCACTCCGCTTTTCTTCCGAGGCTTCTTCGCCTTCTTCACCTGGTGGGTGGCTGCCTGCCAGGTCATCAGCTCTCTGTTTGGTGTCTACTTCCATCAGTACCTTATGCAGAACTAATGGAGGAAACACGCACACACACACATGCACTGCTCTACCTGTAATGCAGCTATTGTTATCCTGTTGCAAAGGATGCCTGCAGACAGGACATTTTATTACAATACACAACTACTGACACAATACAACTTGACTTTGGCTGTAACAGAAGAAGAAGATGAAGGTTTGTTGAGACAGTTGTAGAAAGGTGTCTTTTGCTTAATAATAATATTAGAGTGAACCAGGGCCTCTATCTCAAAGCAAGTTCACGTTTACCTGGCTTTCTTTGGGTCAGTGTTAGGCTTCATTGAGTCTAACTTTGGCAGTCTTCGATAACCGGTATCATGAAGCTGGTTGACAGCTGGCTCACTTAACTCTGGGTTTACTGAACCAGCTACAAGCATGTTCATGCAACTTGGATACAACATCAAAAGAACCATGTGCCACATACTCGGTACCCACTGGAAAATGATTGGGCTGTTATGGCAGCAAGAAACGATTCTGTGAGGTGAAATGCACTCAGTATGTTAGGTCTACCTGTTGCTTTAACGTTGTCATTTTGGAAGATGAAGTCTTTGCTACATATGTACAGGGATGTGTTCATTTACCCTAGTCTCATTGGTATAAATTGGGTGGACAAAATAATAGAAACACCTGTTAGCATAATGCAATACAGTTCAACAAACATTTGAACGTGATCGCCTTCACAAAGGCAGGATTTATTTTATATTAGGCTACATTAGTTTTAGCTTGGTGTGCCCAGTAAAGTGACAAATGAGACTATACAAGTAGACCAGAATAAGAGGCTTTTGAAATTGTAGGAATAACTTATGAATCTTAAAGGTAAAGTTACAATTAAGTGTAGGAATCATAATGTAGGCCTTTAAAATAGTTTGGTATTTTCAACATGTTCCTTAGTGTAAAAAAATGTGACATTCTGGCTCTGTATTTGTCTGTGTGAGCAAATTATTAACACTGATATACTTACAAACAATTAAAGCTACTTCCTGCTGCTAAAGTAGACCAATGTACGGATAGACAGAAAGAAAGAAATGCTTTATAAAGTCTGTCTGACCGAAATTATTCTGAACTTCGGACTTAAGTCCATGTCATGATCTGGTAAAAATGAAGAATCAATTTTTCCTGTGATTTGATTGGTCAGTAGTATAGACTTTTAACAGGTTTTTATCGGATCTTCTGAACTCAACCTTCTCCAGATCAGGTTCAGGCAGCACAGGCTACCATGGCGAGCTACGTTGGTTAAAAGTGAACCAGCTTTTTTATGCCAGAGTTAAGCATCTAACCCACTGATCTTGCTTTGTGATGCAGGCCACTGACTATCTTCCAGCTACTTTATTTCATTTTTCTGAAGCTGTATCTATGCCAGTGTTACCTGAACCATTCTTAACAGAACATTGTTAAACATGCTGTATTTTAATATATTTAATGGTACCAGGGTGAGTGTTAGTGCTTTCCTCAGTTTGGAAATGCCTTTTTATTATTGTGAGGGACTCTTTGTGCTCCTCAAGAAACCGATTCAAGAGTGCTAAATTTTCTGTTTGGTTTTTAACCTTTTTCTGCTGTGATGTATTTAGAAGTAGTAAAAGTCAGATCCAGCTTAGTGAACTGAACAAAGCTGAACCAGGCAGAACTGTAGTCATGGCTGTATATGAGTAGTTGCTTTATATTAAGAATTTCCTTCTTAATTCCCAAGTGCCTGGAAGCTCAGGGGTTTTGAGTGAGTTTTAAAATCTCCATCCTCCTCCTTCATGTGTATTGAGAACAAATAATACGCATCTGTTGATAGATGAAATTAGCGGTCCAAACCTTTTCCTTTTATTTTTAAACACTACTAGGTGAGAAACTTGTTAGTTCTTATTCAGTCACATCAATTTTTTGCTGTTTTTATTGCCATGCAGTCATGTACATGTAAGAATAATCAAAGCCTTATTTGAATCAGTTTTGCATTAGTGATTTTATTTATTTATGATATGTTGCCTCAAACAACTGATAGGAAATTTATACAGATCTAATTCTGTACATTTTGGATTCTGTTGGTGGCAAGTTTCTTTTTTTGTTTGTTTGTTTTTAGCTAGTGTATTGAAATTGAAAGCTCTGAAACTGTAATACTGTGAAGTTCATATCGAAGTGTTGCATTTTGAGATTTTTTTTTAATGCATGGTGTGCAGACATTTGGCTATAAACTGATTGTTTTGTTTGTGTAGCACAATAAAAATTATTAAATTATTTTCATGTAACTTAGATATTTCTCTCAAAAGCGTGGGAGATACTGATAAAACATTTTCTTTTAAAAGTTGCTGTTCCAGTTGAGAAAAGACACATCTGGCAATGGAGTGTTGCGCCACTGTCCTTGGTCCTGACCTCTGACCCTAACCTTCTGAGAAGATTGTTCTTTAATAAATTAATTAATATGAACCTGATCCCCCTGAAGAGTCTGTTTATAGTTTGACCTTGGCCATATTTTCTGGAAAAATCTAAACTACATCCAAATCCAATTTGCCATTGCAGTGTAAAATCATTCCAAGTACAATTCTAAACTTGTGATAATTATCAGAACATTTACATATACAAGCCATTTGGAACAGTTAAGGAACATGACCTTTCACCAGAGTGAGACTGGAGAGGTCCTTTTGTCTGAAAGCTTACATGATTTATTGGTGATACCATTTCACTTCCACATCCAAACAAAAGATTCTCCAATTTAGGGAAGGGTGGCCACCTTGCTGTCTTTTCTTGTGCACTGGGGCGTGCTTCACTGGAGAATTTGTCATCACAGAGCCACTTAAGAGCAGACAAATTTAAGACGGTACTGGTCTACAACACTAATAACATCCACTAAATACTGGCTGTCTGAAATTTGGGATGCTGCACTTCTATGGCAATCATGTGCTGCTTTTTTCAGACCGTTAAGGGTTGCTAGAAAAGAACTAAAAGTAAATATGCAAGGAAATGTTTGTGTTGTTTGACAATATGACTAAGGAGCGTGGTTTGAGCCTTGCACATTTGTAAGTAGCATCATCACCACACATGACCAGTGGAGCTCTGCTCCTCTCTGACAGGTCTGAAGGGTGACAAGGTTGACATATCTATATAATCACATTAATGATGTGCATCTGTGCTGGGCCCCCCGGCCCCCTCTGTCTGCTCTGTGGACTGCAGCGAGCCAAGTCAGATGGTCATGGCTGGCTGTAGTTGCTATGGGAACCTAGGATGTGTGTGTGTGTTTGTAGGACCTAGACATGTCCTTAAGACTGGGCCCAGCCTCGTCTCAGGGGAGCAGACCAGACATGACCCCAGTGAGATTTTCTTTTCATTTAGGGAGGAGAACAACAGAGATGGACAATGACTCAACTTTGTTTTTACTTGAAAGATCCATGAGGAGTGTTCAGGCATAGTTAGTGTAAAACAGCCAGCTGAAAATAACCTTTTTGTTCTGATATATTTTTGAAGACACAAGGTCTACAGGCTTTTTAGTGGTCCACTGGTGTTCCTCGTTTGGTGGCTGCGTAGTGAGCTACTGTACCTGACAGGGGCCAGACATGATAATGAGTGTGTGTGTGTGTGTGTGTGTGTGTGTTTTCAAATGATAGAACAAAAGTGGATCAGACTAAATAAATGGACACATGAAAGCTTGAGAGCTACACAGGAGACAGCAATTTATCTGTCTTCACATGGAAGGCATATTAAAAAAGGCAAACAGAATCACATTTTTCTCAACAGAAAGATAAACTAAATGTACTCTGTAAAAAAAAAAGAAAATGTCCATGCAAATGTACAAATTAAAATATTTTTATTTAAAGGTAATAACAACAAATGTCAAATGAGTTTGTCTCTCTTCTGTTAGTGAAGCATTCCACAAACATATCAAATCTCAGTCCAAAACATCAGAATACTGATAACTTGGTTTACATGCTAAGTTTTATCCACTCCATATAAAAATGAAAACAAAAAAAAAAGAGCAAATTCCACAGCAGCACTCGAAACGGATGCCCTCCACCGTCCAGTTCACTGAACATCTTCAGGACGAACCACTGAACCTGTTTCTTGTCATAAAGATTCATTCATCACCAATTGTTAAGGCTGGTCTGATTCTTCACTGCTCTGCAACATCTCATTCAAATCTAAATGTTGCAAAAGAAGATGACCCCCTGTGGACAGCAAGTGGGAATTGATTCAAACCTGAAGTCGGAGTATTTTGTCATTTGCAGAACATAAGTGGAATATGCAAAACTACACCACACAGATGCCCAGTGCCCACAAACACAGTGTATAGTAAATTTACAGATATAATGAAAAACAAATGTTCCTCAATAAAAAAAATTTAATTTGTGTAATTTGTGAAATCTTTAAAGAAATATCTTAGAGTCATCCATACACGGTGTCTCATATATTCTTGCATATAAAAGACAATTATAGCAATAATATCTCCCAAATCCACTAAATGAAGCCCCTTAGAAAAAAGTCACTGATGCCATATTTATATTACTTAGATCAAATTCCTGTTGCTATAGACAAACATCTTTGGCTGTTGCAGCATTTTACTGCAATGCATAGAGACAAATACTAAACACTTTTGGTCTCTAGTTTGAAGTATATGGCTGCAGATTTTGTAAAAAATGACCAAACTAACATTGTTTGGAGGAATAACAGAATGAAAGTTTAGCGTATCCACATTTATAGTTTTGCAAGCAAACATAAAAACAAACTGTCTCTGGAAACCCTCTAAGGAAAACATCATCAACATTTTTCTTTAAAAGGCACTTACACGGCTGTGTGCACATTGGCCCTGAAGAGATCCTCTCTTAACATGATTCTAATGTAGGTATTCAACTGTCCTTCTGTGTAACAGCCACATCCTAAAGTTCGTCTGAAAATGAGATAAGGCTGAAGGGATCTGACATAAACAAATCAAGTGGGTATCTTGCAAAGTTAATGTATTTTTAGAACAAAATCCCCTTTTTGTGTTGTCTGACCAAACACAAAGATTCTGTATTTAAAGATGAAAGGTACCCACTTAGTTTGACTAATTCAGACTTAAGCCTCATATTTGACATATTTGACTTTTCCTCTATTTGTTACAACAGAATTGCATTATAAAGCACTGTAAATATTACTTTAAAGACAAACTATTGTTTCTATCCTTCCCAGTGTACAGGCACATTTAACTAGTTCGCAATCAGCCAAAGCTCCAGTGTCATGTAACATCTCTCTGGTTTAATGTGGGGAGAGTGTGTCACTGATTCTGGACTAAAAGCTAAAACATCAAGCTGATATAACAACGGGCGCGCACAGTGTAAAGGTTTACTGTGGTTTATTCTGGATGGTGTCATGAGTCGTGCTTTTCTCTGTAGCGTTTATAACAAAACAACAGTGGAGGGTAATTTTACAGCTATTTTCCAATTTTCACACCAAACCTCAAACACTGATCTACCACTTTGTAAGTCAAATATGTGTGTACCCATGTTTTGCACTTCTGTAGAAGTTCAGTTGGTCCCACTGTGCTGCTGTAGCTGGTTTGAACAAAGTTAAAGAAAAAAAACAAAATGTTTCAAATTGTATTTCCGATTCACATCAGCTTCACGCAGGAGACTAAACCTTACCAAACAAAAAGCAAAATGTCTGAACGCATCTCATCTTTCATCTCAATCGTGTGATACAGAGAGTAATTCTCCATCACCCAGGAGAGACCAGCTCTATGTGAGGAGACAAAGAGAGGCTTTCCTCTCTGGAATGATGGGGACAAACTGACCCCTTCTTGCTCTCTTCTGGGATATATCAGTGTGTGTATGTATGTATGTATGTGTGTGAGCAATGGTTTAGATGGAAGATAGCTGATTGATTGGGAAATGGCAGTAGACCACAGCAAGCAGCTATCTCTGCCAGCTGCCACTCATCTCTAACTGCCTCAGCATTTGGCCTTCTCCTTCTTCATTTTCCTGTGTGTAGCTGCCTTTGGGAAATGCCTTCGTTTCATTGGCTGTGTGGGGTTCTGAAGGGGTTTGGTGAGCCGAGTCAGGGTTACTCATTGGAGAGTGGTGTGGAGGAGGGGAGGTGGGTGAAGATATGTGCTCAGGAGAGCTACGCTCTGATTTGATGCTGAGGTTGAGGGAGAGCAGATATGGAGAGGTCGAGGAGCAAGACTGGGAGGGGAAGGAGCACCCTCCATTGGTCATCCTGGAAACAACAAGAGGGAAGACAAAATATAAATGTTTGAGTGAGATGGAACAAACTTTGCCTCTCACCCAGTGTCAGCTGGGATAGGCTGACACTGGGTCCTTATCCTGTATAGAGTTGCCCCCCGTGACTCTATACACGATATGCAATACAGAGTTTGCACAAATATCAATTCTACAAATATGTTTTAAATGCATCAGGTATACTGATGATTGCTAGATGCAAGTCAGTGTAAATGTGGCCTATGTAATTCATCCACCATTATAGATCAAAAATTTACAACATGCTTCTAATCTCTATGAATGTCAACAAACAAAACAAACTAATACTGGCATCAGATGCAACCCAATTGAGATAAAAAAAAAGTCAATTTAATATGTCAT